GGGGTCAGTATGATGCAAAACAGGAGTGAATCACCATTTACACACCAATTGTTCTGTGTAAGTGTAAACTCAATTTTGTTTGTCCTTAAAGTGACAATTAAATCTCAGGAATGTAAAGTGTAACACGAGCAATGTTCTCCTAGCTGTAGTAGTGCCTTTCTTGTTATTGGACATGGTTTTGTTGTTAATAAAACATGAGGTATTTTACATAGCTGTAAGCTGATCGCTACAAAGCACCTTTAACCAGTGCGCTGTAGTATCCTGAAGTATTTTGCTTTATGGTACACTGGCATGTCTCAGTGCCTTTGTTGAGTACCATTGACAGGAGTATTTATGTGCTGACACATTATATTTTCAAGAAGCAGATGAAGAAATGTAGTGGTTGTAGTCTGGTCGACAATCCTTGTCTGCTAATCTACCCAGAATGTGCATTGAAAATCCTTATGCACTGCCTTGTGAAATTGTGTTTTGTTTCTTTTAGAAGTAATGATAAAATTGTGTTGAGTTTTAAAGCAATTCTTCTTTTTATACTTCCTATTATAGAATTACTTCAAAACATCTAGGAGTACAATACTGAGAATCTGTATGGCATTGTGCAATTTAAATGCTTTTTATTAAACTTATCATTAGAATGTAGCACTTCATCTGTTTTAGCAATTATATAGTTCTGATTTAGGAATGTACAGTATAAAGCTGCAACACACCATTGTGGTGCTAAAGGTCATGATCGGTAATGCAAGACTGTGCTTCAGTTCCTACTTACTTGTGCTGAACTGCTTTGGGCGTCAGTTTTGCCTGTGTACACTGATATAAACTCCACACAACTGAATGGGAATGGAGGTTTTCAGCAGGGGGCAAATGCCAATCATGTTTAGTAACCATGCCAAGTGGCTATTCTAGCTTTTGTGCACATATTGAATCAATATTTAGATTCCAGTTAGTGCCTTAGGTTTCTGGTATTTATAGTCCATTGAGAGTTAAGGCATTTTCTGCCAAAAAATTTCTGGGGGTCCTTCTTCCAATCTGCACTTAGGTTAGTTAGAACTGTTTTGTGGAACTACAGCTTTGCCTTAGAGAAACAGTGTCACATAAATCTTTGACTGTGTAAAAATGGCTTTTTTAGAGATGCGGCATAGTCACCCTTTATTGCACACTAATGTTGTAGCCAATGTATTTGCTTGCTAACATAAAATAGCTGGTTAACTTCCTACACACAAGGCAGAAGAATAACATAGGATTCTGAAATCATAAAAACAGAAAAAAGGCCCCACTCAAACTAATAAACAAGATCATATAGCAGCAAAAGCGCAGACGTGTAGTTTTAAAATGTTCTTGCTAATATTATTTTTTAACACAAGTTAATAAAATAATCATCATAATATTATTATGCTCAATTTGATTTGGTGGTTTATTTTAAAAGTTTCACAGCAGTGTAGCTTTCAATGATTAAATGAAATATGTTAACCTATTCTGAAAAAAAATGCCTGATTTCTTCATTCAGAAATATTGATATTCTTCAGATAATCCCCATGTGTTGCTTCTTCTTTTGTTTATTGGTCTATTTTAAATGAAAATCTTGCTAGTTGATTTCTGCCAAGAGGTTTAAGTGCACTGAATTATGGTAACATGTCTTGCTTTTCATTTCATTAATTTAGGTGGACTGAAAACAAATGATGTTACCTGTGATGTAACACTTTTTTACCTCTGGAATGTGATATATTGCAGTATTTCAGCATCTTTAGTTACTCTGATTACTCTACAGACACAGAATTGCAATACATCATAACACTGTATCAGTATAAATGCTGTAGCTATTTTGCACTTCTTTCTAAGGAGGAGTAAATGTTTCAGAGGGTTTGAATGGACAGTTATGAGCTACAGAAGGTCAGTGGGTTCAGTGTGCTTATGAATGTTAGTTTCCTGACTCAAGAGCCTCCCTCACCACCTCAGCCATTTCTGGGAAATAAGAATTCACAACAAGGTCTCCAGCCCTCAGAGCTCTCTTGCACTCACCTGTGATATCCACACTGTCCCAGATGGGACTCTCATCTATGGCAGAGCCATGGAGAAAGGGAAAACAGGGAGTCAAGTTTAGTTAGCATGTCTTTGGAAGTGGGAGGAAACCAACTCCCTTGACAAAAACCAATGTGAAGATGGGAAGACCAAGGCACACAGTTAGCCAACGTGGAGCCCTGGGCCTGGAGCTGTGATAAAGCAGCCCTAACCTCTGCTAACTGCAGTACTGTTGATGTTTTTATCTCAGAACAATTTAACCCTGAGCTGACCAAGCCTCAGCTTGACTCCTGACGTCTCAGAAGACAGTGAAGTTAGGGTTGGAAACTTCAAGTTGAGGTGGAAAAGAGTTTTAGGACAAAGCGGGTAGGGCAGCAACCTCCCGGCTTTCGATTAAAATGAAGATCTATGTTCTCAGAGTCATCTGAAACAGGAAATTGCTGACAGAAGGAATGCAGTCTCCCTCCTCCATCTGTCTTCGAAGCAGTCCAAAGGCAGTTCAGTGCACCACTCTCTTGCCTGCTCTTTCAGACAACAACTTCCTGTAAACAAGCAGCTTTTGCCATGTGCCCTCCTCTCCTTGTGAGCTTAATTGTTTCACACTAACCCCTAAATAAATCAGAAAACTGCTATGCAGTAAAAAAAAAAGATGAATAAAATGAAGTGACAGCAGGGCTGTTGTTTAAATCTTGACGTCTTGGTTTTCCCACATTTTTGCTGCCCTTTTGGCTTTGTGGGGGAAGGCAAAGAAATGAGCAAAATGTTGATGAAGTCTTAAACTGTTTAAGACGTCACTAGGACTTCTTAAAGCAGCAGAGATAATTATAGAGTGTCGGGATCTTTTCTTAAAAACACTTTTTGAAATGTCCTTCAGTGCACAGCAGAAGCTTGAGGATTCGGAAGGATTCTTTCATTTGATCACTGTGGAAATATTTCGGAATGTAACCTATTAAAACTTGTAATCTTGTTTTGTAAGAAAACCCTACATGCTGGGAGTAGGGCAGAACGTGATGATAGAGCTTACGGTATAATCGCGATGCAGTTTTAGATTATCTTTACAACAGGAATTTGTTTTGAGAATATAAATCATGATTACTAACAATAATTTAATAAAAGCTTTAAAGAAGGGGTGCTTCCCAACCTTTATACCAAAGGTGTGGGAGTGTGGAACAAGCTGCCCACATTGAGGAAGCCAATATGCTTTCAAGAAACATTACATGAGATCCACAGATCAATTCATTTGATAACTGTAAAAATAGGTTACTTGGGTCAAATGTCTTTCCCGCATTTCTTGTAGACATAATAATAGTAAAATCTTTATTAAACACGTAATTCCTAAATAACATTAATGGTGTGTTTGTGTAAAACAGTGGTCTATAACACGTGAAAAATGGTCTGTTCAGAGGAGCTGTCTTTATTTGTAATGGCCAGGACAGATGATGGAAGGGAAAGGCTCTCATAATATTTAGTTTAAGCCTTATGGGTTCTGAACATCGAAACCACAATTCTCCAACGCAGCTTGTAAAACTAATATCTGCAATAAAATCACAGCGAGCCAATTTAATGATTTTCTAGGTGTGCACATTCATGGGAAAAAGCAATCATTCTTTAATGAGCCAAGAGACTAACCCTCTTTCTGTTAATCTTGGCCCTTCCTTTCAAACAGACTAGGATATGCACAAACATTTTTATTCTAAAAGTACCACGTTTCTCCTTTTTTTGGCCCATATAGTATATGCAAAACAGCTGGCCTACATTCAGGTTTACAGCATCTCATGAAATGAGCAAAGATTTAAAGCCACAGAGCTATTGGGTAACTATAAGACATTATTTATTTTATTATTTCTGTGAAAACCTATTCATTCCACTTCATTTATTTAGCTAGTGAAGTTGATTTTTCACAGTAAGGTATGCAACATTAGCAAGTTCAAAAGTACATTGGGATTGTTGAAAAAAGCAGGACTTTATTGACTTTTTAGGTGACCTTACTGACACACTTCTTTTGTATGTTTGCTTGCGCTGTGTGGAACCGAATGGTTTAGTCATGTTAACCTTGCAATATCTGATATGGAGCATTTTGCTTGTAAGGTTTAAGGTCCATATTTATCATGGACAAGTCTAAAATCTAATCCAAATCCAACTCTATTTATTGAACCACAGTGACATTTATTTGTTTAAATGATGTCATCCTAAAACGTAATTTATATTATGGGATGTATTCGTGTAAATACATTAAACATGCCATATTGTAGTTAAGATATCCACAGATGCATGTGTGTTTGATATTTAATAATGTATCACAAGATGTTTTAGAGAGGAACATCTGTCTCATAAATCTGCAAGATGGTTTAATTGCTTTTTGTTTTTTACATACATATAATACCAATTGTACTGGAGCATTGCTGAAAGATTTTGGTCTTATCCATCCAGTTTACTTTTAGAGTCTTAAATTAAAAAAACATTATCTGCCTGTCACAGCTGAAAACAGCTCAGATGAGCCTCTATTCTGTACTGTGCTAGTTTTAACGATCATTTCTGAACTTCAATCGATATGACATATACACTGAGGAAAAGAATGCTCGGATGTCAGTCTGAGCCTGTAGGACGTCTGTGTTAGACTAATACAGAACACCTTTGTTTTTTTATAGTGACAGATAAACCTTTATAAAGAAGAAGCAAAGCTTCTTTGAAATTTTCTTTGTTATTTTTAATGTTGTTTAAAAATGGGCTGCTGATAAAGAAAGAAAAATGCACAATAGGACCGTTGGCCAGAAGAATGCTTGAGCAGGCATCAGCCAGGAACTTATTCAAGGAGCTCCTATTGCAATCCTGATGGATCAGCCTGAATCTGGACTGATGGCGTTTATTTTTGGTTAACAGAGGGGTTTTGCGCTTGATGCATTGCATTGGCTAGAGGGAAAATAGGGGGATAAAAGAACTGGAGGCAACTAGGAGGTAAAAATCCTTGTTTGTGTCTTTTCTTCCAGGTGAGCAGGAAGTCCGTGGGCAGAGGCAACGATGACTGCCAACAAGAATGCCAAAGCTGCCCCCCGAGCTGGAGGGAATAAAGTGTCCCGGGATATTCCTGAAAGGTTAGGAATTTGAGAGTTATCCAGAGTGGCACCGTAAGGTTTAATGGGAATGATGAGGTCAAGATGATGCCCATGATGTGCTTCAGTAAAACACTTAGCCGGGTAAATAGCTATACTGTAAAAGGAATTACCTTTGGATGAAAGAAACAACAAAGTAAATTAATAACAATAACATATTGACAAGCATGTGTAAACAGAAAGTTGTGCTTCTAATGAACTGGATAACTTCTATAAGTGAAATTGTTGACCTGTGTATCTTTTTTTTTTACTCATCTATGAATGAAAGTACGTTGAATCGCAACTGCCAAGGCTGGTATTGAGGAGTGAGAGAAGGAAGCTTAAGAGATAGAAAGCTAAGACAGAATTAACATAAACCTATAATTTTAATTATTTTTTTTCTGTTGGAAGAAATTTGGCAAGAAGCCTGATTCATGCAGCACTTATTACTTTCTTTGTATATAATGGGTTATCTGGGTTTTTGAATGTCCAGAAAGGCCTGTGACGTTCACCAGAAATGTCTTAACAAGGACTCGCAATTTAATAGCATTAAATGGGAAAGTATAATTCTATTAAACATTCTTACATTTTTAAGTAGATTATTAAAACAGAAATGCAGGTAAAATTATATGCTTTGGACTGCTATGGTTTCCCTGGCGTTGGGTGGAAAAGTTTCATTTTTAGTTTCAGTTTCAAAGAATTGCAAGTGTTTGTATCTCCAGGTATTGTCAAACACATTCAGCAGAAGACAACTGCAGAAGAGCAGCAGTTTGAAATTAGGTACAGGTAATGTGGACATGACAATAGCAATTTTGCAGACAGTTGCAAATGTAAAAGCAAAGACAAATTTAAAAATCAAGGGTCCAGGATCCTCTGTTTGATCTCGGATAACCTTTGTTTGAGAACCATGGCCTTAAAAACCAATAAGAAAAGAAAACAGTGAAGCAAAAACGCGCAACAGGAGGAGGAAGTTGTAACATTTCAATAAAGAATTCATTGGCACTATCTTTTTCCATTGTGGTTTCAGACTGCATTGTGTCTGAGACAGTAAAAATGACTAAAACCCCAATTTGACAGATTATGTTTGTGTATGTACTGTAAGTTTAGAATCAGACATTCTAAATCACATTTGCTACATGTATAGCTAATGCAGTAGAATGCTGGAAAAAAAAAAAAACTTGTTTAGAGCCTATGAATAATTATAAATGAGGGGTAGGCATCTGGCCCATCTAGATTATTTGATTTTTATGAGCTAAATGATCTTAGGATCTCACCCAGTCAGGGTAGCTACTTTAACAGCACAGCAGTTGGGGAGTTGCCCCAAATTCACAGTTTTAAAGGCACCATAATTTCCTTCCAGAGTCTTGGTTTGACTGCAATTATCTCTTCTAAACTGTTGAACTTGCATATGATTGCTATCTGCCTCCTGCTTTGAAGCTCAAAAAAAACATTTGCGCAATTTGGCTTTTCTTGGTTAGGACAGGAAGCTTTTATTTTAACTATACTATTCCTCACTGAAATTGTGAGACATACTTCACTAACTTATGTTGACATAAAAGCTACTGTACGTAATTCACAGGGTTAGACATGTTTCTACGGTATCTAGTATGTGATGTCATTCGGGCGTCTTCAATATTCACAACATGAATCACAGAGACTTGCATCACACAAAAAAACCTGATTTAAGCTACAGACATTTATTAAATTTAAATGGTTTGCAGTGCATTATGTTTTTCTGTATAATATCATTGCGTCTTTCCATAATTACTCTATTTGCTATTCAGACTTAATTCTGTTTGCTGTGTACCATTAGCCTGTTATTTGAACTGAATTGATACTGTTTTATATCATTTTAATTTAATTCATTTTTTCTAATAAAACAGCTATCAGGGACCATTCACTTGCAAAGATCCTGAGCCCTAAAAAAATCAAAAATCTAGAATGACTCTCTTATATACCTCTGACAGGGGACACAGGTCAAACATTCACCAAACATGCAGTTCCAAAACAGTCTGTAGCCTAACAAAGGGGGTTATACCCCCCTTCTGAACCCAGAGAAGTGATACCACCATACCATGCTCATTCTGTACTGCCAGCCCTTTTGCAGTAGCACAACATTACCAGCACTCAAGTATAAGTGATAAAAAGCAACATCTCTGTGACTCTGTGAAGCAGATGGAAGCGTTTCTATTCTCCATTCCACACTTCAGATTCTGTTGTATGGGTCCTTACACCCGGAGAAGACTTCACAGCTGTAACATTGTGTTTCCTTTCTTCTCTTTTCAGCATGGAATAAATCTTTACTTGTTCCTTCGCAACATACGCATGCTGACGCAGCTCCCCACCTAAAGTACTTTAGATTCTGCTGTCAAGCACGATTTTCAGTTTTGTTCCAGAGCCCCCTGCCTCTCCAGATAACCAGAAACAAGGCTGACAAAAACAGAAATGGCTTTTCAATTGTCACTTGTTTTAAGACTAGAGTCCTGTTGATACATAAACTCTTTTATTCCCATTAACCTGTGAGCTGAGGTTCTGCCTCTGAAGTAAGGGGCCAAATACCGTACATGAGAGAACTGTTTTGGACTGTGGAGGAATATTCCCCGATCTGTCGTGTTCTCATACAAGACAAGAGGTGTCATTTTGGTTCCACTGGCCCTGTGAGATTTCCAAGCAGAACATGTCTGATGCTGCTGGCATGGTTAAATTAAATGGCTGGGGGAAAAGAATGAGAATAATTAGTGTCTCTTTTTGGAAATCAAGCAGGTGGGAACTCTGGTGTTGTTTAAGTTGTAAGACTAATGGTTGAAATCTGTTTCTGCTTTGCCTCGAGCTGCTTCTTCGCATACTCTAGTTAAGAGCGCTTTCACAAATTCAGATTTTTTTTTTTCAGGGGGAATATTCTTGGTTTCAGGCTCTGTTGATTTAAAAGTCTGCTAACATGGAAAAGTGAAGGCAGTCCAAGTCTGAGAGCCATTTGCAGGCTGAAATTGTATATATAAAGTGAAAACAAATCACAATGGAATTTTAAGTTGTCTTTTTCGAAAGACACAAATGCAGTACGGTTTAGTCAGCTGGGTGCCCTTGGAAACCTAGTGACAGTCAGCCATTGGGGATGTTTCGAGCGTCGATTTATGCCCTGGAAAGTTTTGACTTCTTTTCATGTCTGATTTTTTTAAATAACAAAGCAATTGGAATTCCAGTACATCATTATAACATGAATTGTCTCTGCAAAGGCCAACTTGCTTAATAAGGATGTAAAATTCTCTGCTGTCACAGTATCAAGCATTTCCTTTTATATATGTTACGAAAACATTCTCTCACTCCCAGACATCAATCCAAGGGCCAACATCTATATTACACACTGTAAAAAGGTTGGAGGGGGAGTAGAGTAGGTAGGTGTTCCTTCCCAAGTGGCTCTGTCCTAAAACTGCTTGTTTGGAGTGCAAGCTGAGCCCCACACTGACATCGGCACTGACACTGCTGGGTCACTCCTATAGGTGAGACCTGCATCACCCCAATTGATGCCAACTGCCTGCAAAGCAGACGGAAAATTAATTTTTGACAAAACACACCTGGTTCTTGTTCCCAATGACATAAGCGTGGCTGTGGTATGCTCAGCTGATTAATAATAGTCCATTGCTTAATGATATTAAAGTCATGTTATGCAAATCTTTGCAAAATCTTGACATTTTATAACCTTATAAAATGATAAAGCAATCTAAAAAAAACATCAGCATTGTTTCTCTCTATATGAATCACACCGAGTTGTACAGTAGGTGGACTATACAAAATTCACTTTGCTCCACCGGCTTTGGCGAAACACCGAGGTTTAGGTGCACACAAACTGATTTTCATGACACAGTAACTCCTAATAAATGTTACTCTTCTAAAGGATTGTAAAAACACATCTTTCTTTAAAAGGACAGAGTACGAAATGACTGTCCGCAGTCAAGGGGCCTAAGTTTCGCTGTCTGTGCTTTAAATGTGGCTGGATGAGTCTGTCCCACAGTGGAATAGCAGAGCTGGGGGTGTGTTAATTGGGCCTCTTTAGGGGATGTATCTTTTGATGTCGGTAACTTGAATCTCTTCCTCCCAGTCTGTTATCGGATTCTGCAAACAGGAAATGGCCTGTGGCTGACATACCCACAGACCTCTGTGAGAGTCTGTGTCTCAGTTGGCACCCTGTGCAGTCAATGTGTGGCCCGTTACAATTTAAGCCAAACTTTTGAAATCCACGATCACTAGACCACGCTCTCTGAGCTTGTTTGTACTGGCTTCAACTTGAGGCTTTTCCAGAGAAATTTTGCAGAGCTGTTAGCCCATTAACTGAAACCTGACTTGGCATTAGATGTAGGCCTAGATCCTCTTTCAGAGAGGAAAACTTTGTATTTTATTCTTTTGTTCTTTTTTGTTCGTGAGATAAATATTGAAGGTCAGCGCCAGGGGCGTATCCAGTAAGCTGTCTTTTAGGTGTAATAAATGCTTCCCACCCCTCTTGTCAAAATGAGATGGTTAGAAATTGCAGACCAGCTGTATTCATTACATCAATTCGTTACATCAATTGAAGAACAAACATACTTGTAAAAACTAGTTTTAGGAGAGTTAATATCCATTTCAGGAGAATTAGAGTTATGTAACTGTACAGGGAGTGAGAATCTTCTTAATTTGTAAGGTTTATCATTGTATCTCATGTTTTATTTTTAACGTATTTGGATGATACTTTTATCCTTATACACTGTGTTATTATTTGAAGGCATCTCTTTTTTTGTACAGAGAGCTATTTATTGTTCATTGGGCTGGAATAATTTGGGCAATTCTGCAAGTGTACAGCAGCACTGCCACCTGGGACTTCATAGCTCTAACCACTGCTCCACACTGCTCCCACACACCACCTCATCCATCTGACCCTCTTTCCCTTTATTCCTTCCTCTCCTGCACCACTGTCCAGCAAAAGAGAATCACTTTTAATAGTTTTTCCTTACATTTGATTGAAAAAACCCTAA